GCAGAAAAGAAGAAATATGAATGGCCAATAAATATAACATGCTCAATGTCAGAGAAACATATTTAAGCAAGAATGATATATAATTTCACACACATCTTATTACAAAAGAAATATGAAAAATACCAAATGTTCTAGAGACAGTAAGAGAAAAGAAACTCTTAAGTGGGTGCAACCATTTGGAAGAATAATTTGTCATATATTTTACCCCCTAATGACTGCATATACACTAAACATATACCCGCAGAGACAAAAATATTTGCTGTTCATAGAAGCACTGTCTGTAATAAATACTTGAAAAGAACTTAAATCTCCAACAATCAGGTAATGGGTAAATTTATTATGGTATTTGCATAGGATAAAATACTATATAGAAGTTAAATTGAATGAAGCACAAAGCTAGTTTATTAACTTAAATAAATCTCAATAAAACAAGTGAAAAACACAAGTGGGAAAAAGATGCATACTGTATGACATTCTATGTATCTTTTTAAAACAAAATACTAAAATAATGATATACTATCAAAATATACAAACAAAAAATTAAATACCAACTTCCCAAATGATGGTTATCTTTTGAGGTGGGGTGGTGGTGGGATCTGAAGTGACTCAGAATAGTTAGTCTTCAGTGATCTAACAATTTATCATTGGTTTTTAATTGAAGCATATATGACAAATGTATGATCTAAATGGTAAGTATTGGTTATACTGGATATTAATTTTAAAACTCCCTATTATTTTTGTATGTTCAAATATTTGTTTTAAGTTTATGGTTTTATCAATACAATTCAAGTCTGGGGTGCATTATAACACACAAGAAAATCCAAAAAGAATTATAAAATACCTCACGCATTTATATACATCAAGATTAATTTGCCTCCTTCCAAATAAAATTTTTAAATTTTGTCACAGAATTTATTTTCCTTACAGTAAAAAAGTAAGTGTGGGCTAGACGGGTGTGGCGGGTGGTGTGTGTGTGCGCGCGCGCACGCGTGTGCAACAAAATTATATTAAAGATATTGGAAACTGGGGTAGTTTTTCTTTTTTCCACTAGAGGGAGATGTTGAACTTAAAATATTTTGAAATGAGGCTTGTTTTTGAACTGACATTTAACATCACAGGAAACCACATTGTGCTATTAGAAAATAAACTTGCTTTCTTTCCACTTCTTCCAGAAACACAGCCCAACAAGTATAATTCTTCACATGTAGTCATGTAAACAACATTTCTCAGACTTCACAATATGGTTTCAGTTCTGAAGTATAGAAGTTGGGTTAGAAATGCATCCTAGCCTATGAAATATATCAAGATACCTAGTTACAAGCTGAACCTAGTACATGCTTATCTCCTGAAAGAGCCAGAACAAGCTCCTTCTCTCTAAGCCCCAAAGTCAGCACAGTTCTACAATCAAAAATAGTGTTTGCTGCAGTAGAGTACAAACTAGTACTAATTTTGTGTAATACCTATCATAATTATAAATCCATGAGCTTGCAGACCCAGCAAACTTCTAGGTATTAAGCTGAATCAATTCTACAACAACTCAAAGATATGAACAAGCATATTAGTGAATCATTTATAATTAGAGCAAAAAATTTTAAAGAAAATAAAATGTCCACCAATAAGAGATTCCTTAAATATATTGGCAACTTCCAACATGACAGATTATCCGGCAAACACTACAAAAATAATGTAATGACATCAAAAGATGTACACCAAATATTACTGAGGCATGTAATTTCATCTATGTAAATACAATAATATTTGTTTATTTATCCTTAGATAAAGAGTGGGATTGGAGGGGGAGAGGGAAGACCTTCACTTAATGCTTTTAAATTTCCCTAAATTAGGGGCATTTTTACAATGAACACAATATAATTTTATAAACTGAATATTAAGATATTCAGTTTATAATATTAAGATATTTCCTGTTTGGAAAAAACATGCAGTACCAGAGCCATTCTGTATGCCATTTGCTTAGACAGGGCCCCAGTGGACAGTTTCCCAAGAAACTACAAAGAAATACTTCTTGTTGCCTAGATCGTTTAGGCAAACTTCTTAAACACTTCCTTTCCATGTAACTTTTTCCAAGCTATCCCTAGATCACAACTGTGTTTACCAGGTCAGACTTAAACATGTTGCAACTCAATTCTACCAGCTGTCTTATTGTACAACTTACTGATACCTAATCCTAGTCTGACGCCTTCCTACTCTTCCTCCTCTCTTTTTAGTTTATGGCATGACTTTTCAATTTGTTTCCCATGCTCTTTGCCATCACAAACTCTCACACCCCTTAATCACTAGTTACATAAACCAAATTTAGTCACTGAATAAGAACAGGATCATTTTATTCCCTGGTTGAGGTGTAGAATTTTAGAAATAAAATAAATTCAAAAAACATTCACTTTCATCTTCAAATTGCTCACAATCCTGATAAATTATACATTGAAATGAACTGGAAAAAAGGACAAAGGAAAGGGCATAATGGTTCATAAAAAGAGCTTTGTCGCTGAATGTCCCACACGGCGCACAACAGAAAAGTTTTTGGGAATAAGTTTCCTCAAAGTTCACACTGCTATTGCAGGAATGAAGAAGATAAATAAAAACAAAATGATTGTTCATTTTAAATAAAAAATCTAAATAGAGATAAAAACAAAACAAAATAATACATACATATTTTTTCAAGATCAACATAAATATTGTGTTCTAAAACTACATGGTTTAGATTTGCTCTGAAATTTCAAATAATCCTAAAGAAAGACATGGAAATTTCATGTTTATCAAAAGAGGCAACGCGTTTAAAAAAATGAGGAATCCTATCTTAAAAAGAGGTAACTTTTGAGGTAACTTCACTAAAAATTCCCATTACTATTCCAGAAAAGTATACTTCTATTTAGAGTTTCAATTACTAGGAAAGACAGGGGGCATGGCATAAAATTAAGATTTTTCTTTTTATAATGCATGTGAATTATAAAGCCGAGATGAGAGAAATATTACACACCAGCTTTCTGTTAAAGATGAGGTTTCACTTAGGTTTTTTTAACTTATTTTAAAAACTGAATTCCTTAGAGAGCTACACAAAGAGAGCACTATATGATGCTAGCACTAATAGATGGAAATCTATACCCATCAACAGCCAATAGAGAATTTCAATCTACCCCTGAAGCTGTTTAAAAGACTATTTTTTATAGTTTTTTATACAGTTTCTTGCTTTATAAAGGGAAAAACCGTTTTCTTTGGTTAATTTAAAAAGGACAAGAAATTCAGAGTTCTGAACACTTCGGTCACAAAATAATATAAAATTTATCTTTATATTACAGAGTATGTTCCTCTATTCTTCTCCACACATAATAATTACAGACTCATACAGAATTTTAATTTGTTTTACTACTTCATAATATAAAGTCTGGCATAACCATATATGTTTCATCTGAGATTTATTGGATTGCCCCAGAAATGGCACCAAAATCACATCATCCCCATACTTAATACAGGTTTTTGAATCATGTTTTACAAGTTTCAGGCTTCTGACTGGTGGCACTGGAGATTTCTGAGTGGTTAGAAATGAAAGGGTTATTTTCATTTACTTACATTCACTTGATTTTTCCAGGTAGCCTTTAATTATCAACACAGCTCAAATGTCATTTGCTCTGTGAGAATTTCCCCGGTCTTCCAAGCAGTTAATCAATTTCTCTTTTATGGTCCCCTAGCATTTTGTTCAAAATTTTATTTTCCAATATATTTTCTCTCTTTACATGTATCTCTATGTTGAAAGATCCTCCAGGACAGAAATCCTATCATAATCACTTTGATATCCTTAGTATCCAAAGCAGGAACTTGTTAAGTACTTAGAGAATGAATGAATGAACAAACCATACAAATTACAGACTCTAAGACTACCAAGAAGTCTAAAGGGTGTTTGCAATGACTTTCCAGATTCTACAGAGACAGTAACTGGGAAGAAAAGCATTGCCCAATGACCAAAGGTTTGGGAAAACCCGTTTCATTGGTATTCTGAATACTTACATACACGACAAATTGAGTATTTTCACTGTTTACTTCCAGCTTTCACTCTTAAAGAAATAAAATTCCTCCTATCCTCTGCATGGTTTTAGCCTCCTTTGCCTTGCAAAGTTGTTTCTAACGCAAAGCTACTCCAAAATTAATTTTAGATGGATATTTTTCATTCTGTGAAGAATGCATATCTTTGACGTCTATATAAAGACTAACTCAATTTGTCATTTTGTGTAGAAAAAGTTTCATCACAAAATAAGTAATAGAAGAAATAATGGAAATTTATCTGAAATTTTAAGAGTTGGTTAGTGAATTCACATTATGAATTTCTCCTAACTCTCTTTCAAAATAATTTACATATAATCTCCTAAAAAAATGCAAAATGCACCAGAGTGAGAATCTGAAGACTTGTAGTCTTTTCCCATATTAATCACTCAGTCTATGATCCGAGTGAATCATAAATCTCCATCTGCTCATCTATAAAGGGGGTTAGATGTAATCAGTGATTTTCAAACTGGACTATTTGAAGCCCTAGGGATTCTGTGTATTGCAGGGGAGTGGTTAATAAAAGATGGTTAAAAATCTACACTACTTAAAAAGAATTTAAAAATCACCATACTATAAATTTGTGCACGTAATCACTCTACTATAAGATTTGTACATGAAATCCATTCTATTTCTTTATGCTATTAAAGACTAACAGTCTCACATTTTAAATTGGGAAAATAAAATACCAGATATACACATACATATGTCCTTCTCAAAATCACATAATTTATGCAATAGAACTCACCCAACTCTAATGATATCTGTTGGTAACAGCTGCCCATATTGTCATATAACTACAAATGAAACACAGCTTTCCAGAGATCAAAGACTAGGAATTATTTTCCCCTTGAATAAGACAGTCAATTATAGCACAAATGTAATTTTTAATATCATAAGCATTAAAAAGACTTACTTAAGGAACCGTATTATTATTTTTAAAATACCTGTACTATAAATTGTAACTCTCTTCTTTCTGCTTCCCATTGTTCTTCTTGTAATCTAAACTCCTCCAATGCTGTCTCCCTGATATGAGACTCCATGTCATTCTTCTCCTGCTGATGTTTTTCCAACGCTTCCTAATTTATATGAATAAAATCTTGCTTCACTATTAAATCGATAAAAGTTATCTTTCTTCCTTCACCCCCAATTTAAATGTACAAAGGGCTCTACTTACCTATCCTATTAAAACTCATTATAATTTATGTTAAAATCATTAATAAAACTATTATATTGGATCATCAAAATACAGATCTGAATAAGAAACTATGCTTATCCATTTAATTTAAGCAAAATTTTATATATACATACATATGCATATATTTAAATCAATTTTTCTGAACATTTTAACTTTAGAGGTTTGAACAAAATGAATGCGACAAAAACTAAGTACATAGATAATATGCAACCGATTTAAATCTATGTGTAAAGTAGTATGAAAATCTCTCATTACCTATGAACAAACTGTTTGGATTATCCCTGATAATGTATCTATAAATCTGACAAAAAACACTGTATTTCCAAAAGGGTGATAAAAAGGGAGTTTTGTGCAACAAATCAGAATAAGAAATTCTAGTCTTAAAAATTTGAAAAGTCAAAAAATATTTTTTAAAGTTTGGACTATAGCTAAGGTCTAGGTAGCTGATCAAGATCTTGTAACTTGAGGTGCAGGCTGACTATAAGGAATGCTGCCACCATTACTCTTCCCCATTCCTCCAAGATATTTCATGTGGGGAAGTGTACACAGGGCCACCCAGGGACTTGCCACCTAAATTCCCGCCATTCACATACTAATGGAGCACTTACAGATGCCAGCCACTGTTCTAGGATCTAGGAATACAGAGATAAACAAGACACAAAGTATGACTATTGATGTGAAAGAAATCAAAAGTAGATCTGACCATGTCTGGGAACCCTTGTGTCAAAATTTTAACATTTAGTAAATGCTTTTGTAAAATTATTTTTTCATGAAGATTTATTTCCAATATTCTGAAAAGCCATTTACAGCAATGGTAAATGTAAAGCATTTTTATCATGTACTTTTTTATTTAAATTGGTACTTCAAAAACATGGTAAACAAAGACAATTCAAAATCTATCTTCTAAGTGGCCGGCAACCTCAACCTTAAACCATACTTTTACTCTGGACTATAAAAAGGTACAAACAATGGAAAATAGATAGCTTACAATAATTTTAGTAAAAGGACATCAAATTTTTTACACATCTATATATAACGAGCTCTACATGGATAATAAAATGTGTATCAGATATGTAAATATTTTTCTATATTTATAATATATTTAGACCAAATCTAGGACCCACCCATATTTCTAAAATTCCAAATTTTCATGCTGCTGGACTAATAGGGCTCTAGGCTCTTATATTCTTACAATATGCCCATATAAGTGTTTGTTTTTGAAATTTCGATCAGAGATCTGAAACTGTTTTTCACAAAAGAAACAGTATACTCATTAACATATTCTAAAGCATATATCAAAAGAGACCCGCAAAAATGCCCCTAAAAAGGAAAAAAGGGAGAGAGGGAGTGAAGGAAAGAGGAAATCAGATTTTCTTGCTTTCTGGTAGGTATTTTCCTTTCTAAGGATAACTTCAAATAATGTATAACACATCCAATGAACAGTACATAGAGCAAAATTCCTTTATAAAAATATTTTACCTGCAGAGTTTTCTCTAGCCTGCTTTTTTCTTTCATAAGTGAATCGTATTTTTGATTGAAATTTTGAATTATATTATCTCTTTCCTCCAAATCACGTTCAAATCTTCTGCATTCTTCTTTCCATTTCTGCTGAGAAGTCTGAAATACATTCTCAATCTCACTGGCCCTTCCTTGAAGTTCTGTATTCTGAGCTATTAAAAAGATAAAAGAATAATAAGTATACGTACAACCATAAGTTAAATTCTCCGGAGTTCAAAAACCTACACCTTGGAGCTGATTTACAGTGTGATATTAGGACAAAACCTGTAACCACTTCACACCAGTAAACTCTTGAAAAGCTCGCTGTCCCAAAACAACTCTTCTATCGTTCCTTGATCTCTTATTCCGCTCTGGATAAAGGTGACTTTACCCTGAAACGGTAATGATATGTTCCCAGAAACATGACCGGGTTTAGGTACACCTCTGGCACCAGCTCCAGCTCTACTGCTTTTTGTCCTGTTCAAGAAAATCAAATCTTTTTTAAGGACTGTGACATATAGGGCTACTTTTTAAAAGGACTTGATAGATTACAAATTTCCATATTTGACTATTGGCAACAAATTCATTATAACACATCTTACACATGAGGTGCAAAAAACTGAGGCTGGGAACCACTCCTCTAACTCTTAGAAATATAGCTATTTACTCCCACTAAATTATACTCAATCCCCTCTCATCCTAGTATTACCTCAAAAATAAACAATGTCTCTCCACTAGGGCTGCTGCTCTGTTTCAGCATCCAGAAAAAAAGTAATAAAAGGCTTCCAGGTCTGGCCCCATCGCCTACCTCTCTGACCCTCAGAATATAATGCCTCCTACTTAAGTTTTTGTGAAAATAAAGTGAGAAAATGTGTACAAACACACTTGTTTAAAAATGCCGCAATTAGTACTATTATTTTTAAATTATAATTGTTTTGAATAGATCATATAATCCAAAGGTTCAAACTTCAAAGGTATAAAAGGTACAAAAAGTCTCCCTTCCATCATCTTACTCTCTACAAAGATTATTCCACGGTCTAGCACCCTGTACTGCAGGTAATAAGTTTGAGGTCATTTTGATTTCTGTCTCTCTACATGTGACCTCTTTCCTTTTATTTCCTTTTCTTTTCTCTTTGAAAGCTTCAGGATATTCTCTTTGTCTCTACTTTTCTGAAATTTCATAATGCTATGCCATTGTGGTGAAGATTCAGTGGGCCCTTTCTATCTGGCAACTCATAACCTTTAGTTCTGAGATGTTTTCTTAAATAATTTCACTGATGACTTATCCCTATATGTTTTCTCTCATCTCTTTCGATATTCCCTATTATTCAAATTTGTCTTCAAATTTTCTTCTCTTTTCTCTCCAAAGGTGTTTCCAGTTCGTACGTCTTTCAATTCTCCCTGCCTTTTTACCGTAATTTCTGGGGGAATTTATTCCATCTTCATCTTCCATTCCTTCTATTGACATTTTTCATTTCTGATTTAATATTTTTAATTTCTAAGAGCTTTCTTTTTTGTTGGGTCTGGTTCTTGCCTCATGGATGCCATATATTCTCTTTCAACTCTGAGTCTATTAATGTTACTTGTTTGCTAAATCTCCCTGCAGAATTTCTGATTCTTCCAAGTTAGTTGTTTTTCTCTCCATTTAGAGGCTTTCCCTAAGAATCTGGTAATTCTTGGTTGTCTGCTCTTGATTAAGAATAACTATAAGGGTGACATACCTTTTACCCATCTATATACCCACAACCCAGATTCCAAGTTGTAAGGAGCTCGGCACCTGTGGTCTTCACTGGAGGAGAATCTGGCTGGGCCATTTATCAGGAAAACCCAATATCAGTATCATTCGTTTTTAACTCTTGGCTTGGTCAAATGACCCAAAGAAGAGCCTTCCAAGCTCCCACGTAGGGTACAGAAATCTGGTGATAGCTTTTAAGGAAGCCAACAGAAAAAGGAAGCTGGAAGGAATCGTTCCTCAATATTCAGCATTGAGTATGCTATCCTACTGTTTTTGCCAGTCTGGGGACCCTCTATTTCACCATCTCCAGACATTAAGCCTCCTGAGTAAGAACAATTCCAGAGTGGCATGCTCTTGAGAAGGGGATTTTAGAACCTAGCTGCTTCTAGAACAAATAGTTTTCATCTAACTCTATTTTACCCACTACTGTTATTCCAATTCCTAATATCAAAAGAGTTTCCAGTTCATAAGATTTTTGACTAACAAGTTATCTGCCAGCCTTCCCCTCCTGCCTTAGGATTCTAACATCTCAGGTCTGCTAACTCAGTTATCCCTTTTCCATTTGCTTTCCAGGTTCCAAAATTTTCTTTCTTATCATGTCTCTTATTCTCTCAATCATCATGAGATTATCTTTCTTAATATCCCATAACTCCATTAGGTTTTTACTCTCCCCTCAAACTTTTATCATAAAAATTTCAAAACTACAGAAAGTTGAAAGTATTGTACAATGAACACCCACAAACCCACCACCTAGACTCTATGATTAACATTTTGATATATCTGCTTTATCACACATTCACCCACCTATGTATCCATTCATTTATCCATCAGACCATCATACTTTTTATGCATTTCAAAGCAAGTTGCAAGTATGAGCACATTTCACTCCTAAATAATTCAGCATCCATATCATTAACTAGAATTCTATAGTTTACTTTTTTGTAGGTAAAATTTACATATAGTGAAATGCACAACTCTTAAGTGTACCAGAGATTTGACAAATGCATACACTCATACAACCCAGACTCCTAAACTACAGAATATTTCCTTTAACCCAAAAGTTTCCTCACACCTTTTCCCAGTCAATCTCCACTGTCGACCCATCCCAGAGGCAGCCACTGTTCTGATTTCTTTTTCACCAACAATTACTGTTTTTTGTCCCAGAAATTTATAAAAACAGAATCATACAGGATGTCCTCTTATGTGTAAAGCTTCACTCAACATAATGTTTTTGAGATTCATTCATGTTATTGCATGTATCAGTAGTCGGTTCATTTTTTTTGCTGAGTAGTATTTCATTGTATGAATATAACACAAATTGTTTCTTCATTCTCTTGTCAATGAACATGCGGGGTTTGCTTGTTTGTTTTCTAATTTGGGGTTGTCATGAAGGACCTGCTGTAAAATTGGTATGCAAGTCTTTTGTGGACATATGTTTCTCAGGGAAAAATACCAAAAGGTGAAACTGCTGGATCATAGGAAAAAGGTATGTTTATTTGAAAAGAAATTGCCAGGTTTTTTCCCAAAGTAGTTGTACCATTTTACTCTCCCACTAACAATGTATAAGAGTTCCAGTTGCTCTACATTCTCACTAACATTTGGTATTGAGTTTTTTCAGTTAGAGCTACTTGATGGGTATGTATGCATTTCCCTAATGATAAGCAAGGTTAAGCATTTTTCATGTGATTGATGGCCATTCCTTCATTTCCTCAAATGTGTCTGAAATTATTTGACTTTGGGCAAGTAATTTCCCATCTTCCCTGGACTTCAATTTCCTCATAGTTAAATGATCATTAACTTGTATATCCAGTGCCTTGCAATCCTTTTATTCCTAAGTTCTAGATAGTGGTGTACTTACTAAAAGCCAGAGGTAATCAAAAATACTCTGACCAATAGCAATAACCCAAGACAGCTGGCCAAGACTAAGGTTTGTAACCTTTGCAATATTTATAACTTAACATTTATTCATCCCCATGCAGTTAATAGAGCACTTTCATTTTCTGATTTCACCCTTAAAACCTAGGTTCAAATATCAGTAAATAAGTGGTAGAAACAGACTCAAATCTAAATCTTCTGCATTCATGTTCAGTGCTCTCTTAATTAAAACCTGCTGTGTACAAAAATATTCATAGCAGCATTATTCTTAATAACTAAAGCACAGACACTACTCAACTGCCCATTCATAGTAAATAGATAAATGTAAGTGTGGTATGTTCACACCATATACTAAACATTAATATGAAGTTCATACATTAAGGGTGAGCTAGCAAACACAACGTTGAAGGAACAAAGCCAGATTCAAAAGAGTATATTGCAATCATATAAAGTAACAAAAAAAAGGCAAAATTAATCCTCACTAATAAAAATCAGGATAGTAATTATCTACATAGAAGGACTTCTGGTAATTTTCTATTCCATGATGTGGGTTCTTGTTATCAGCTTATACTTATCTAGGCACATTTCTTTATATATATTATACTTATGTAAAGATTTTAAAAGATGGTCATATTCTATATAAGAGGTAACTTTTGAGGATTAAATCAACTGCCTTTTACTCTAGGCAACACACTCTGACCCAGTGGTTCCTAAAGCTAGCTAATCAACAAAATCACCTGCAGTAGTTCTTGCACATACAGATTGTCTCATTAGAGATTCTGATTCAGACTATATGTGATAGGAAGCCTAGAATATATGAGTATTTAAATCTCTATGTGATTCTGCTGATTTTTCATGGAACAAGTGCCCTAAAAAATGGTTAACAGAATTTTGAACCCCTTTTCCCATACATACACATTAAAAAAATAATGTAAAGTAGATGAATGTTCACATAATTTCCAGAAGACTTTATACATGCCCAGTCAATGAATCAAAACTCTTCCTCTGACCCTATATGGAATGCATACACAACAGTGAACGATGATACACAATGAGGTTACAATTCTTAACATGGAAAGAAATGAAAATGGTCCTACCACAGAGTTTTTCGTGGATCCTATGTGCCTCAGCCAACCTTTCTTCAGCAGCTCGTCTTCCAAGACCAGCTTCCTTTCTGGCAACAGCCAGGTCATATTCCAGACTTTGTCGCAATGCCTCTCCTTTTTCAACCTCAGATCGCAGCTTGGCGATCTGGCTCTCATAGCCAGCCAGCTAAAAACATATATATTCCTGATATCATAAACCAATATTAAAATATGTCTCCAAGATCATTATGAGATCATTCACCCAAACATTTAAATTTTTAGAGAAGCTTGTTTCTATAGTATTTACAAGACAAGAATTTATAACTTTATACTTCCTGAAAGACTAGAAAAGAAACATTAGCCTTACTCACCAAATGACACTAGTAATTTTATTTTCGAGAACTCACTAAAGAAAAAAATAAAAACAAAAAAATTCTTATATGAACTTCTTAGAAAAATAATCACAAGTTTTAATCAAATAGTCATACCCAAGAAATGAAAAAAATGCATGACTCACAGTAAGCACTGAAAAAATTCATTCTCTCCTCTCCTATTTCCTAAATGAAATTGAGAAGCAAATTGCAGCAAAATATAGTTTGGTAAATACTGACTATATTATTTCTCTTGATTATGACATTACCTGATCTAGCATAAAGTAATAAAGTACCAATCTTACAGGTATTTTAATGAACTAACATCTAATTTATCTAATATCTAATGACTAGATTTAATTTACCTAATATCCTTCCATGTAACATGACAAAAGATAGGTCAAGGAGTTTAGAACTATATGATTTATAAAATCCTTTCCTACTCTAAAATTGTATGATCTAGTCAATGATTCCTTAAATAATATTAAACATCTGCTATGTGTCAAGTACAGTGAAAGATATGAAAAGAAACACTATAGGACCCTTAATCTCAAAAATCCAATGTTATAAGAAGGTATATACCAAAAGTTTTATAAAAGAGGTAAAAATGTTATAATAGTTTTTTAAAAAGCAAATTACTTATTGCTAGTGGGAGAGAAAAAGATGGTGGATGAGAGAATGCTAGAAAAGTATCATTTAGGAAAGCATTGAGATACTCTACAAGGCTAAAATACATGATCTAATTACTAAATAAAATAAAATGGATTTCTGAAGAGCAACATCAGAAATTACTATATGTAGCTGTCAAATGTAGAGTGTAGCAGCAGTTACACT